TCCCTCAAAATACTACCTCCTTACATTGAGTGGTTCTGAGAAGAAAATTCAGGGCTTTGTTTACTGATAAGAATAGAAGAGAAATAAAAATACATAAGCGAAGTGGTAATATTGTCATATTTCTCAACTAAAAAGCTCATTTAATTAGCCAATGATAGGGTATGTGTGCTCAAGGGGAAAACTTTAAACAGGTCTGTATATTTTTCTTTCTGGAGAGACCTCGTACAAATTTACGCATCATGTGACCCACAAGACATAATTGCATCTTCATTAATAAAGACCTCCTCGTCATATTTCTCAGTCATCTGAGTTCTATCATTTGTTTTGACCTAGAAACCCTAATGGAATGTGTAATTATGCTAAGAAGATAATACAATTCAGTGATAAAAAATTTATCTCTAATATGATTGTTTATTACAGTAAAACTTATTTATACTTTTTTGTTTTTTTTATTGCAAGTGAAACCTTGTGATTATCCGCGTATTAAACATGGAGGTCTACATTATGAGATTCTCTATAGCCGATCCTTTCCTGCAGCCGTAGGACAATATTTCTCATATTACTGTGATCGAAATTTTGTGACTCCTTCAGGAAGTTCCAATGGTTACATTCAATGCAGACAAGATGGGTGGTTTCCAGAAATCCCATGCCTCAGTAAGTAAACCTCTTTACAGCAATATGTGCATAAAACTTCCAAAGAGTGGAGAGAGGAGAGCACATAAGTGATTACAACTTGTCTTATGTAACAGAAATAGGACGAAGAGAAGAGTTGCTCAAGAAAATGACCAAAATAGAGCTTTTCTATTATGAGGAGTTCCTCTTGAAAATCACATGAGAAATAGAGACTTTATGAGAATATCTATAATTTATACATATTTTAATTACAATTAAAGATAAATAATATTTAATATTGATATTTCTTTTTGTACAAACCTTTGTAATGTTAGTTTGTCTTAAGTTATACATTATTTTTTGACGTTTATGCAATTTTACTTAAATATAAAAATAATTTTAATATAATATTTTGAGCAAATTTATGTTTCTCATTGATTTATTTATTTATCATTGTTTTGTTTTTTAGGACAATGTTATTTTCCTTATTTGAAAAATGGAGATGATACACATTCTGGAAGAAATTTTTTACAGGGTACCTCTGTAGAAGTTCTCTGCCATTCTGGCTACGGCCTTCCAAATGAGCAGACCACAGTTACATGTGGAGAGAATGGCTGGTCTCTTACTCCCAGCTGCATCCCTGTCAGTAAGTACACTGCTCTGAGATCCCAGCATGTTCATGTCTTTCTAAGTAATGTAGTTGGCATTCTAAGACTCTTCTGCATTAACTGTGGAAAAATGCTTACGCCAACTTGTTTTGCCAAAAGATCTATTTAGTTTTATTTTTTCAATTGTGTATAAATGAATACACAAATTTCTTGATAAATACATAGCAAAATAAATGCTTTTATTAATAGGCATTAGTCAAGAATAAAGTAAAAAAGTTTGAACTCAATACTTGTTGGTTAAATTAGGTCACATTGGAGCGGCATCACTGTATGGGGTAAATACCCGAGGTTCATCTCACACCAAGAAGATTAAGGACACAGAGATGCACAAGGAGTGAGTTTAGGAGTACAGGCTTAATAGGCAAAAGAAAGAGAAAAGAGAACAGCTCTCTCTCTTCTGAGAAAGGGGCACCCAAAGGTGAATTCCTGCCCCTGGTGGAGTGCTTTGGATTTTATAAACAGGCTTGAGGAGGCAGTGTCTGATTTACGTAGGGCCCAAAGACTGGGTATGTAAATGTGACATTTACATAACGTGCCAGAAGCTGGCAGCCCCCCCCTCAGCTTGTTATGCAAAGGGTTCTTTGCCCGGCCAGTGCCATGTTGCCTGCTCCTTACTGTACACATGGCTGGCAAAGAGAAGGGAAGATGGAGCTGCCATTGGAACATGCCTAGTCCCAGGTCACCTTTTCCTATGGGCACAACTGCTGGCATTCAGTCTTCCAAGCCTCCAGCTTGCTAGACTATGTTGGCAGCTCGATTTTACAGGCTCCTCTTTGATAGAAAAGAAAATGATTTGGCGGCTGATTTTTATTAAAAGGAGAACCTTACCAAGGACACCTGTACTCTCATTACCTGCCCAAATAATTCCTTCTTAACTCCTGTATCAACATTAAAATCAATCATTTGACTCAAAATAATTATAAAATTATAGTTTAAAATAGAAAGTAAATTCAACGATAACCAATAATGTCATTCAGATATTCAAGCAGTGTGATGACATTTTTACAGTAAAGCTATTTGACTTTCTCTAGTATAGGTAAGTACAAATGGGTTTTCTGGGATATTGTGCACTTTCTACTCTAGAAGGTTTCCTGTAGTATTTCTTCCAATATGCATTTAGATCAACGGTTCCTTCCAGTTTTATGTGTTGTTAATGAGTGGTGATGTCACATTTTAATATTTACAAATTGAGTGTCTATAAAATGTTATAGCATTGTAGTGTGAATACTTTGTAGTATAATATAAAATTTCTTCTATTACTAATTGGGTTTAGAGTATATATTCACAGTTTAATTGGTATTTAATGATTCTAATTTTTGGAAATGCATTGTGATTTTTTTTTTTAAATTTACCTTTCTGGGAGTTTTGGTATGTATTAGTCCAAATCATCATACTAATTCAGAATATAAAATCTCTTGTAATTATATTTAATGCAAATGCATTCCTTTTTATAACTAGTGTTTTTCTTTTCTGTTTTAT